AATGGGGGAGGAATTCCAGGGGGAAGGGGAGTTCCCTCACAGTATCTTCCTACCATTTATCATTCCTGTGACCACAAACACATACTGTGTGCCCGGTACCATGCCAGTGCTAGGGAAACAGTCCGTGCCTTTCTATAGGGTTCTGTGACTTGCATACCTGGCGGGTATCACTTTGTTTCTTAAGGCTGAATCTCCTGTGGTCCTCCAGGCTTTTAAAGATGAAAGCAAAACCTCCCACTCTGTCTCTCTTTTCTTCTCCAGCTTCCTCTCTTCTTCTTATCATTGCTGTGTGGCAGATTCCAGGATAGATGGATAGATGGATGGATGGATGGACGGACGGACGGACGGACGGATGGACGGATGGACGGATGGACGGATGGACGGATGGATGGATGGATGGATGGATAAATAGATAGATGGAGTTAGAGATACACAGATATATTCTTTATCTGTGCATAGGCTTATGCATAAAGAATATCTATATTTGCATCTCTACCTGGATGCCTTATAAGCATCTTAAATTCACCATGTCCACAACAGGACACATTCTGTTACCCCTCCAGCCCTGCCCTGTTGCCAGATCCCTTACTCTTGTTGAAGGTGCCGCCACACATCCTCCCAGTCAGCCAGGCTCACGGCCTCTCTGGCACCCGTCGCCTTTTTTCCACTTATACAACGGTCACCCTAGTTCAGATCCTCATCACCACACCCCTGGACAATTACGGAAGTAGCCTTCTGCCTCGTCTCCCTGCCTCAAGCATGTCCTCTCTCTGGTCCACCCTCAGCTCGGCTGCCTAGTGAGTTTCTTACAGCATACCTTTGACCGTGTCATTCCTACTCAGTCAACTCCAGGGACTCTCTCCAGGATCAACACCAGTGTCCTCTTTGCCCTCGGAAGTTTTTCACAATCTGGCCCCTTCCCACTTTTCCAGCATCCTTACTCTTTATTTTCCTGCACGCTCGCTGTCATCCAGCTACCCTAGTTACACATTCTTCTCACATGGCTCTCCACTTGCCAACTGTGGGCCTTTGGCTGGCTTGGCACCATGCCTAGAGTACGCTCCCTCCTCAGCTCTACTATCTTGTTTCAGTTTCAAGGATTCTGTTCAAATCCTGCCTTCTATAGGTCTTTCCTAGTCCTGCCCCTTTCCCTTCTCCACATGGCCTCACTCTGAAATTACCTTCTAACACTGTGTGTAAATCACATGTGCGTTGTTATTGGCATGTTGCCTCCTCCATTAAACAGTGAGCCTCTTGAAGGCAGGGACCGTGCCTTTTCCCCTCCCATAGTACAGTGTCTAACATATAGTAAGAGCTTAATAATTGCATGTTGACTGACTGACTGACTCCGGTTGCTGCACCCATCCATTACCTTATATACCTTCAGGGAAGAACCCTTTTCATTCTGGGAGAGGGAGAGGAAATCACGGTACCAGTGCCAGGAAAATAGCTTCCGTATAGCTTGAGAGTAGGAAGCCTATTACTGTAGGCCAGGCATGAGTTGATTAGGACCTATACCAGGGGCCATGAATATGGGAATTTAAAAAAGCATTTTAGTAAAAATAATATTAATAATAGCATTTATATAACATTTTAATGTTTGCAAAGTGCTTTACAGATATCTCATTTTATCTTCACAACAGCCATGGAAGGTTGGTGTTATTATTACCTCCTTTCTATAGATGGCCCAGGATGCAGTGGGAGACCTTGGCCTTTTTAAGCTAAGGTCTTCAACAGGTCTCAGTTTGACTGAGGCAACACCCATTTAGTGATTAAGGCCAGGTAGGCAAAGAATGGCTTCTTTGCCTTATTAAAAAAAAAAATACAATCTGGGAGGGTTTCTGGCCAAAATAGAAACAATTGCTATTTACATTCACTTTGAGCCAATCAGGGCCCAAACAGTAACCAAGTGGGGCTTGGCCTGAGACCTATTGTTGGCCAGAGTGGTAAGGGTTTAAGGCATGGTCCTTAAGAAAGAAATCTAGCCTGTAAACCCCAAAATATCTTGCAAGATTTCAGTGATCAAAATTTGCATTCCTTTAGGCAGAAGGAAGGAAGGAAGGAAGGAAGGAAGGAAGGAAGGAGTCATCCTGATATATGTCTGGCCACTGGACCCAGATGGCTCTGGAGAAGAAAGTAAGATTGGTGACTTTGCACAGCCCTCCCTAACTTAAATCCAGTTCATTTGCAAGTTATAGCATCACCTCACTGATGTCATGGTCCTCTTCGAGAACAAAGGACAAACAACAACCACCACATTTACAGATGAGGAAAATGAGGCACAGAGAGGTTAATTGACTTGCCCGGTGTCAGAGAGCTAGTATGTGAGGAAGATTCAAAGTCATGTTTTCCCGACTACAAATCTAACATTCTACATACTGTGCCACCTACCTGCCTTAGTATTTTGAAAAATAATCCTTAAGACAAAATGGTAGAAATTGATAATAGCCCGTAAGGGAGTGAAGGAAATTAATTCAGGACAAATAGGCAGTTACAATTCTGGGAGTCAGGCTAGAAGCTTTAAAAATAATGGCAGAGTTGGGATGGTAAGGGCATGAGGTAAAGGATGAACCTTGCCTGAGGAATATTTCCCCTAGCTGTCATTGTCCAGGTCATTGCACGTGGAGACATTGCTACAGCTATAGAGTAACAGGAAAGGAGAAAGAATGTAGGGTAGAAAAAGATTATAAATAGATACATTCTGTAAGTAGCATTGCCACTATTTTCTTTAATTTTCAAAAGGAAATATTGTGCTATTAGCATTTGAGATCATTGGCCTTCCTTAAATGAAATACTGAAATGATATGTTATCGTGCAAAAATACATAAAGATGCTCTTCCAAAGGTAGCCTTGTCTTAGAGATAGAGGCAAGAAATAGCTGGCTGTTTGTTGTAAAGCCTTTGTAGTGTGGCCTTTGGTTTTTTGACATGGTTTTTTCCAGAGCCCATTTATCCAAGTTCAGAAGACTGTTTGTACTGCTCTTTGATAAGCTGCCCAGCTTTTCCCAGAGAAGGTGTGGTATCAAGCACTAAGGCCATGAGATGGCTTTTATGAGAGCTGGTGTTTTCTCCCCAATAAATAAGATGCCATTTCATTGGACAAACAGCCATTGAGTGTGCTGTGTATATACATAGTGTGTGTGTGTGTATACACATACATATATGCATGTATTTATATACACATAGTATACTATGACCTGAGGCACAGTTCTTGGTGCTTTACAGGTCATTGCTAGTGTGGTTCAAAGCTTCAGGGCCCCCCTAGGACAGCTTGCAAGTCACTAGCGCTCAGGAGAGGTGCCGGAGGAGGAATAGGCCTTCACTTGACCCTCAGGATATCTCCTCTCAACTTGGCAGATAGAAGTGATGCAGAAGGCAAGAAATCTGCATCCCTAATACTCCTCGTGCCTCCAGGACACAGACCTTGCTCCATGATTACCCAAATGTGAGCCCCCTCACATTTATTCTCAGCTCTCATTTTCCTTCCAGGACTTTCCTTTTTGGTAGAATGCCTCTGATCTTACTCCATTCCCTAAAAATGGATTTGGTGGAAGCTTTGTTTTCAGAAACCTCAAGGAGGAGGCTCCCAAGCAGATGTTGAGAAGTTTTAAAAGCTGAATGAACTGACAGAGCAGTCTCATCTCCTTGTACACATGTGATGGTGGGAGAAGCGGCCTCCCTCGACAGCTGCCCCGCTTCCCTCGGAGTGAGGAAAAGGCCACAAAATTGGGCAGTGAGGGGGTTTTCCCAGCACTGGGGCCTTAAGGCAGTGCTATCTCCCTGGAGCCTCAGACTAGGCTGCGTGGGCCTGACAGCCCCTAGTCCTCTCCCCATTCTGATCGAGAACAAGGTGTTTATGTGCCAGAATCACACCCTCGCAGGTCACTGTCCTAGATACTCAAGTTGGCAGTGTCAGACATGTGGCCCAACATCCCAAAATAAGCATGCTTGTACCCTGGATTATTAACTTTTCTGACAGAAAAAGAAGTATTTTCATAGGAAAACCAGAGTTCAAATCCAGCCTCAGCGGCTTCCTAGCTGTGCAACCCTGAGCAAATCACTTAACCAGTGTTTACCTCACTTTCCTCAACTGTAAAAAGGAGATAATAGCATTTGCCCCCCAGGGTTGTGTAAGGATCAGATGAGATAATAATTGTGAAGCACTTAGCACAGTGCTGGTGAGATGTTAATTATTATTATTATTATCATCATCATCATATTTCTCATAGTAAGCACTTAATAAATGCTTATCTATCTGTCCATCTGTCTAATTTGTCACATCCCAGGCAGCTGCCTACCTTTCCTACCCTGAGATCTGACTCTGGTGCTAAGGATCACCAGCAAGTCTGCTGATAAGAGGAAAGGTACAGAAAGATGAGCTTGTCAGAGGCACAGTTCCATGTGCCTCTAGGGCCATGAGAGACAGAGGTGCCAAGGTAGAGAGCTTTTTTACTTTGTAATAAGCAAAAGGTAAAGAAACTCTTTCTGAAACCTTTAATTGAAAGACCTAAAATTTTCACTTGTCGCTGTGAGCAACTTAATATGCCTTGCTTTTCATTACTCAGGATCGTTTCATACCGTCATTCCATCAAGTGTCTTCTGAAAATTTAAAGGGGCTGAAGTACTCATTAGTGTTTGGAGGATGATGAGAACCAGGATAGACAAGAACCATGCACCCAAAACTGTATCTGCATATCTATATGTATGTGCATATGTATGTGTGTGTATGTATATACATGCATATACCTGTGTATATGTTCATAGGTATATATTTGCATATATACATACTCAGAGTTTTTTTAATTAAATTTGGAAATGTAATTTAAAAACTATTACCTAGCAATGGATATGTTTTAATGTTCCATACCTTTTCCATATGTCGATAATATTAATGTCGATGAAGTTATCTCATGAGTCCTTGACACCATAAGTCTTACTATCATCTATCAGTCAGTCAGAGTTTCCGGTGATTCATTATTGCTGCTTTACCTTTCCTTTTAGGACAGAGTACTAAGAACATCAGTTCATCTCCAAGCATTGACAGCTTGCCTGGGGGAAAGGAGTTCACAGGCTCTCCCCCTTTGTCTGCTACCAAGAAGGACTCTTTCTTTAGCACCATCTCCCGTTCCCGCTCTCACAGCAAAACCATGGGCAGAAAAGAATCTGTAAGTACCTGCTCACAAGCCTGGGTGTTTTGTCACGGACAACCGAGGAACGTATCGCATGGTTTCATTAATTAATCTTTCGTGTCCTTGTGTATGAAGCACAGAATGTAGAAAAATATCATGGCCCAAAATGAACTGCTTCACAAAAAATGTCATTTGTGGAAGGTATGTTTCTTGGTAACTATTAAAAGAACCCAGTCCTTTGTCCAGAACATATGCCTTTCTGTAAGAGACTGAGTTTTTCCAAACTTTGGGGACCAAATATTACCATCGAGGAGCCAACAACCTTTCAATCAGCAGTGTGATAGGATGATTGCTGACATTTCTCAAAAATAAAAACTAGCCATTTTAACATTTGATTAAAACAGGATAAACAAAATCTCCAGGCTTCATTATGATGTATTTACAGATACTTGGAGCATTCTACTCCAGAAGGTGTACCTAAAGGACTTAGGCTGCACTAGAAACAGTGTTGTATTTGGAACCATTTATAAGCCGACTTTACAAGGAAAGCCTTTCAGGTGACTCCATTGTGGGCTCCATTCAGTGCTTAGTCTTCTCCATGAAATGTTCATCTGCCCTTTCAACTGATGCACAAGGAATGGTAGAGCTCATAGCAGTAAAGACGTGAAGATGCTGAAAAAGTCCCTAAGAAGTAGGGGGGTGCTATCAGGCCTTTAGAATGACACAATTCCCTCCACAAATAGAGATTTTAGTGCTCGTGGAGTTAAATTTTGGGTGGTGCTGGGCAAGTTAATTAACCTACCTGAAAAATCAAGAGGATACCTTACCTAAAGAAAGGGAACTGAAAAAGTACTCTTTTGAGCTACTTCCCAAAGATATGATTCTCTGAGTTTCTGATTATAAAAGAAAATAATCTCAGCCTTCACATGGAATCCGTGTATACCAAGACAAGAATCATTATTGAAGACTAAATAAATCTGTTGTCCTACTTTCTTTTCCTACCCACATAAAGCTCCTTTAAGATCTCTTGCAATTTAAACCTAAGTTTTAACTGGTTCTGATTTTTTATTAGCAGAAGGGTTTCTCTGTAGCTGAACTTTTTTTTTCTTTACTGTTTAGTATAGAAGAAATTAAATCCAGGACTTTTTTTTTCTAGAATTCTATTTTAGTTGGCCATTCATCAGTGCAATAAGTATTTTCTAGTGTTGTCATCACATTTAGTCATGTTATGAATGTCAAATTTCTAAGAATATCTTTACTAAGAAGCAAATAGATAGAATGAAAGAAAAAGGTTAAGTGAATGTCTAATGAATTTGGCATCTCAGAAGACAAATATTTTTTAAGTATTTACCAAAGTAGAAAGGGAGCTTAACTTGGAAACACTGGACCTGAATGAGAATCCTGGTTTAGCCATTTAAGCCATATGACCTTAGATCAGTCACTTAATCTCTTTGGGCCTCAGTTTCCTTTTCTGTAAAATGAGGGGGTTAGGCTGCCTGATCTCTAAGATCTTCTCCGTCTTCTCCAGATCTATACTCCTAAATGCCAAGCCCTATGCTGGCCTAGCCCCACCCTTAGGAAGCTAATTGTCCAGTAGAGGAAGCCAGGAATGAACACATCTAAAATTAAAGAAAGATACATGACCTAAATAGCAATTAAGGATAACAGCAGAGGAGACTTCCCAGGGTGGTCTTAGTGAGTGGTGTAAGTGGTACATGCTCTGTGTTCCCCAGAAAGGTGGGAACTGGTAAGGCTCTGAAATCTTAAGGTTTGGCCCTCTCCCCTCTCTCCTCCTTCTGTCCCTGGAAATACCCCACCTCACCTTGTCCCCCAAGTAATTAACTAACTCCCAGCCCCTCTTCATTATCCTTCCATTCTTCAGGTATACCCTTTGCTCAGTTTGCTGAAATGTAGTCTTCTGAATCAATTCACATTAAAATGTGAGTGACCATGATATTCAATAACAGCCTTCTGTGTTATCTTTTCTGGGAGGAGTTTGCATCTGGCAGAGCTCGTCTTGCTGCAGTGGCAACAGCTCCCACTTTATGAGCTTTCTCCAGCTTACAAAGCTGCATAGATAATCATGATCTCACCAAGAGCCAAGGTGGGTGTGCATGGAGGCCACGTGGGTTAGTAGTTTGAACCGAGGGCATTTACCACTGAGTGAAGGGGGACCTCCCGAGTGACCGCACACCGGTGGCTTAGTCCCTCGTGGGCACAGTACCGAGGGTTTGATACCATTTTCAGAGCTGAAATAAGGGTTGGAAGTCTAGGACCACCTAACAGAGAGCTGAGCATTATTTCCAGTATTAGTGTATGTGGAAGACTGCTGACAGACATTCTTGGTATCACTGCTGCCCATCTCTGAAGAGACACTTTAACATCGGTTAGAGTGGGCCTAGAGTAAGCAACATAGTCTCGTAACCCGGGCCTTGGAACTGGGAAAACCTGAGTTCAAGTCCCACCTGCGACCCATGGTGGCTGTATCACCGTGGACAAGTCATGTAACTTCTCAGGACTCTAAGCAACACTCAGACATGGCACTAACTTATGTAAGGAAAGGGGATTTCCTCACAGGTCAGAGCACCATCTGCAGAGGGTTTAATATGTTATTTGATGCAACATAGATACCAGTTCATTGACTGTACCACTTTTTGTTAATACTGTTGGAGTATAGATTTCCCCCAAGTTTCCTTCTATTTCTTAGATTCCTATCAACTTTTGACTGGAAGTTGGTTGCACAAATTTTGTTTTCCCCATTTGACAAATGAGGAAACTAAGGATCAGAGAGAGTAATTGTCAGCCCAAAATTTCCCAGGACCCAGGTCTCCTGACTTTGTCCACTAAGCCAGGATTGCCTCGCTCTGTACCCAATCAGTCAACAAGTATTTACCAGAAATTTAATATGTGCTGTGTGCCAGAGACACACAAGAGTGACATAGATCCTGCCCACAAGGAGCTTACTTTCTAGTCAGGTCAAACACCATGTGTCTGGACAGGTAAACACACAGAAGATAATCTGGAGAGAAGGCATTAGCTCTTGGGAAAATCAGAGTTGTGTGGGAGGGAGTGCTTGACCTGAGTGGTGAAGAAATGCAGGGATTCTAAGAAGCAGCGGTGGCAAAAGAGTGGCTTCTGGGCCTGGGAGAGAGCCAGGACAGAGACTCCAAGCATGGAGATGGAATGCCGTGTGTGAGCAACGTTCAGAAGGTTAGTGAAGCTTTGCTGTGATGTGCAGGAAGGGGACTGGCGTGTGATAAGACTCTGGCATCAGTCCAAAGAAATGAATTCCTGAGAATGGAGTTTCAGACTCCTGTGGTAAGTGTTTGAAAGAGAAGTGTGGACCAGGGGTAGCCAGGTAGCACAATGGTTAAAGCCCTGGGCCTGGAATCAGGAAAACCTGAATTCGAATCTAGCCTCAGACACTTACTAGCTGTGTGAGCCTGGGCAAGTCACTTAACCTCATTTAGCCTCAGTTTACTCATCTGTAAAATGAGGATAAATAATTGTAAAGCACTTAGCACAGTGCCAAGTACGTTGTAATCACTATATAAATGTTAACTAATGGCTGTTATTTTCCAGACTGTTTTATGTCATAACATATAGGTGACTGCCTGTTCTGTCTGCTTGTTAGGTCAGCCTTCCAGTTACCGATTGTCCAGTTTTTTTCCCTCATTAATCACTTTTAGGCTCACGAAAATGCAAATTATGTGGGAAGTACTGATTATGATGGAACTCAGTATTGGCCCATTGAACTGAATTGAATGTTAACACTTTTAATATATTTAAATATAGAACTTTTCAGTTTGTAGATACTTTCTTGCAATGTGCCATTCTTTAATTAATAGCACTGTCAAATGGCATTAAAATACATGTTGCTGACATGTGAGTGCCTTCCACATACTTAGTTTTAATGAATAGATATTAAAGAAGAGTCTAGATTTCAGCAGTTTTTCTGGCTTCTTTCAAAATGGATTTTGATCCAAGGCCAAATTCAAGTCAGGTGCTTGAAATGTGGCCTTTTTAGGCCTCAATGTCAAATTCACCTTGGAGACAGCAGAATGTTTGTTTATGCTGTGCCTGCCAGACCTTTTGGCTGATCTTGGGAAGGGCCACTACCTGTCTTTTTAGAAGTGGCGTTTCCTCCCATTCCCTCATACTCGTTACGGCTCATCACTTCAAGGAAACGTGATCATCGAAGAAAGTGTTATTTAAAAGCTTTCCTAGTTTGCCATGATGTTTTAATTTAGTTTTAGTAGATAAACATCTTTCAAGAACATCTTTTTCCACCCATCTTTGTTTCAGTAAACCTATTTTTCATGAAAATTGGTCTGCAAGAACTTATAACAGTAAGTGAACCCCTTACCTTTGAACAAAAAGTAGTTTTATAAAGATGAAAAGGTATTTAGGGTGACAAATTACCTTGACAAGAAGTTGTCGTGTGTCTCTTTTGCCCTCTTGCTCATCATTTTCATCATGGCCTCAAAAAAGATACTAAGCACCAGATCACATGTCAGATTTTATTGGACAGTGCATAGAAAGATATAAGCAATGGGTTTGTTTTTTTTAAGTAATTGGAAGCCTTTAGAAATATGTCAGATAGCCAGCTCAAAATGACGTCGTTAATGGCCTACATTTCCTCCCCACGACCACAGTTCTGTGAAGGCACACTGGTTGTGGAGGAGCTCTGTCTTGTGTGTCCCCACCACAAATAACAAAAGATAAGCCAAACTCTGCAGAATGTTCACATGTAAGAATTATCATCATGGTTTCCAGCTGCCTTGTTCTACTCCTTTTCCCCATGCTGTGGCTTCCACCCAGTCTCCTTTTTCTCCTTTAAACACCCTTTTCTGGTCTTCTGTCTGCCTCCTGTCTCCTACCAAAATCATCAAAGACTAGAGCCTGCCTTATACTTTAGACCACAGATGTAAACCAGGAAAGGGCCCTTGGAGGTCACTAAATCCAGATCCCTCACTTTACCGACGGGGGAACAAAGAAACAGGGAGGTGAAGGGTCACAAAGTTAATATTTGTCTG